AAAAAAAAAAAAAAAAAAAAAAAAGGAATAACAATTCCTGTCTTACTGAATTATAAAGATTAAATGAAATTTAGTGAAACCATCCTGCACATACAGTATGTACTCATTAAATACTATATCTCCAGTGTCTCTTTTTACTGTTAGTGGGGAAAAACTTTTTGCTTCTCCGAATTTTGTTATAGTATTTATAAGTGTGTTACAGGTCATACAGCAGTGGAATTGCTAGAAATGCAGTTATGGTGCCGCTGTTGCAGAGCCAACCTCTTGCATGCACTTCCTGTGCCATAGGTCCCATGTTCATGTTGAGTGAATTTACTTGAGAGTATGATAGGAATATTATTCTAGGGAGAAGGATAACTTAAGAATTGTTGAACAGGAGCGGTAGTTCCCGCCTGTAATCACAGCACTTTGGGAGTCCAAGGCAGGCGAATCACAAGGTCAGGAGTTCAGATCATCCTGGCCAACATGGTGAAACCCTGTTTCTGATAAAAAATACAAAAAAAAAAAAAAATTAGCCAGGCATGGTGGTGGGCACCTATAGTCCCAGCTACTTGGGAGGCTGAGGCAGGAGAATCGCATGAACTCAGGAGGCAGAGGTTGCAGTGAGCCGAGATCATGCCACTGGACTCCAACCTGGGTGACACAGCTAGACCCTGTCTCAAAAAAAAAAAAAATAGAATTGTTAGGATTGTTATACTGACCTTGCTGTGGTATAGGGCATTTGTTTGTGTACTTAAGGCCATATTAAATATGTAAGAAATTACCTTATTTTTTAATATCAGGAAATCACTCTAGGAATTAGGAATGTAGCATTTTTATATATTTTTTGTTTTAACATGTTGCATAGTTCAAAATAAATGAAGTTATTTTTAAATCATCATATATGTGATGGGGCTGTGCTAGTTACTGGGAATACTAATGTACAAGATAGTCTGAGTCTTCAAGAGCTTACAGTTAGGTAGAAATCCTTACAGTACTGATAAAAGATAAGTGAAATAGAGAATAATATAGATCACCCAATACTTAAAAAAATTTTTTTACAGCAAAGTTTAACTTGATAGTACACATACAATATTTGTAGTATACGTAGCATGGAGGTTAACAGTGTGTTTAGCCCATAGTGCCAGTAATAAGTAAGTAATTCCCTTCAGAGTTACTTGTGTAAGCTAAAAAGAAGAAATAAAAGGAGATGGAAAAGATTATAGGAGAAGAGAACCTAAGTTGGTGGGGGCCCATGATGGCAGGTAGAAGAAAGAAAAAGGTATGTTTGGTTGAAATGTAGATATGTGTCAGGTGTCATTAGGGCCCTCTGAGCCTTAGAAATCAAAGGTTAATTAAAACCTATTTGATTGGGAAAATAAGGCACAGAATGATAACGGTAAATATAGTGATAGAACATTTAAAATTTGATTTCTGATTCATAAACCACTAAGGTCACAGCCTCTTGAGCCTTGCTGACTTTTAGATAAAGTATATGAATTTGCAGTTATGTTAAACCATCATAGTAAAATAAAATAAAATGAATTCTTGATTTTTCTTTTAGTGTCTTTGCAAGATATAACGATGAGGAAAGCTTTCCGAAGTTCTACAATTCAAGATCAGCAGCTTTTCGATCGCAAGACTTTGCCTATTCCATTACAGGAGACGTATGATGTTTGTGAACAGCCTCCACCTCTCAATATACTCACTCCTTATAGGTAGGTAGGTTAATAAATAGTAGCCCTGTTATTTATCTCAGACTTCAGATTGACATGCGAAATCCCCAAACATTCTTTATTTCATTGGCTTCTAGCCAACACAGAGAGCCCTCTCTGTCTAACCAGCTTTGGAAAACCTTTGCTTTATTCAATGGATGAATTCCTAAGATTCTGGCATACAATAGACAAGACCTATTCAAAAGAGTTGTTTTGACAAGTAAAGAAAAGCCCCTGGTAAACTTATTAATGTAAAGAGATAGGGAGTTGTTATTGTCCTTTTAATTTAATTTTTAATCAAATGGAAAAAGCTCAAAATTCTGTCCTACTAACAAAATAAGCACAATAATTTGTGCTTGTTTTGTCTACTGTTGACCTGTATATGTTAACTTCTTACATAATGAATATGTAGTATCTTTTTAAAATGCTTTTTACCACTTAGAATAAAATCTGGAATTATTCAGCCTTTCTTTGAAGTTCTTTCACATGGTTTGTTAAATGAGTAATTTAAGATGTACAACACATATCCTGAATAAAATAGTATTCAGAGTTATTTGAAATTGTAAGTCAGTATGCAAATCAGTAGATATAAATGTGACTGTTAGAATGACTACTACATGATACCTTTTGGATTTAGCAAGATAACAAATTATGGTATTAGCAGAAACTGCAAAATTTCTCTATTCTAGATGATGTTACTCTCTTTTTAGGCTTTTATCTTTGGCAGGGCTATTTGTAATTATTGGAATTGCCAAAAGGACTTTTTAGAAAATTTGGGATTCAGCAGAAGTTAGGGATGAAAATTGCCCAGCTGTACTTTAAATTATTAGTGCCAACTTGGAAAAGCATCTGGTTTTCCACTTTTCTTTGTTTCCTCAGATTTGTGAGAAATTTTCCATTGTTGGCAATATTCAATTTTATTTTGGCAGTATTTTAACTCATGCTGTATTTGATTAATGTAAGAGGATAAACATTTTAGTGAAATTATTTTTATTCTGATTGCCTAAGTCTTACTAATGTGTGATATTTTATATTTCAGAGACGATGGTAAAGAAGGTCTGAAATTTTATACTAATCCTTCATATTTCTTTGATCTATGGAAAGAAAAAATGTTGCAAGATACAGAGGATAAGAGGAAGGAAAAGAGGAAGCAGAAGGTATTACAAGAGATTAAAATATTGAGGTTAATTTTTGTATATTTGTGTTTTGTTACATATATTGAACTTCATTAATCTTGTATTTTGACAGTTTTATTTTATTGGGTCCATATAGTTAAATACTGAAATCTTTATAACTCCACAGAAAGAACACAGTTTGATGGGGAGCAGATGAGCAATTAGATTATTAGAGTATGGTATGGTAAGTGCCATAGCAGAGGTATGCATAAAGGGTTTAGATAATACAAAATAGTATCTGCTTTAGCTAGCAGGCAGGGTAAGCACTTCCAACAAAGCTTATAATGAATCTTGAAGAACAGGTAAGAGTTAGGTGGACCAAGCAAGAGAGGAATATTTTGGTAAGAAGGAGCAATGGAATCATGTACAGATATTGTTAACGTAGATTAGGCTAATAGTTTCTTGCTACAGAGCACATCCTAAACATTTCTCTCCTAAATGTTTTGGAGAGGTTATTATATTCTCATGAAATTTATGTTATTTCTATTATTGTCATTTTCCACTTTCTAACACAATTTGCTTGTATATGCTTTATTTAATATTAATGATAACTGAAAATACAGAACGATAAAGCAAAGTTAGATTTAGGCTGAATTACGAAGGAGGCAAAGTCTGTCTTTATAGCCTCTCTGTTCGTCCTGTAGCTGTCTCTACTTTCCCTAATCCCTGTATAATGCCATTGTGTTATCATCTTTGCTGGATGGTAACCCAGTGTTCTCGCCAACATTTGCAACTGGTGACTGGCAAGCTACACTGTGCCTGTAGGCAGTATGTTTTTTGCCAAACACAGAGGTTTTTAAATTATTGAATTACAGTGCCTGAGATGGACATATCTGTCTAGCTCACTGCATGTCCCATCTTGTACCCAACTGACTTTATTCATGTATGTTATCTGCTTAGCCGCTTTGTGTATTTGAATTTGTTATACTTACTATAGACCTTTCTCTACTTTCTCCCCCAGTTTTGAATCACTTTTTTTCTTATTGTTTAAAGACCAGGTTTTCTGTTGAATGATACAGTTATTATGGGTTAATTAGATAATTGGACTTTTTTCTAATGTGTTGGCTAGCTAAGCTAATCAGTTACTTCCCAGATAACATAACCTTAGTAAATTTTTACATTTTGGTTAGAGTAGATATTGCCATTCATGGTAGCAATTTCAAACTAATGCCTGTGGAGTGAGGGTTCATGAATCTTTTTTCATCTGAAAGACTTTCTGACCTCAAATTGTATTCCTTAGGCATACTATTTTATATCTGGCGCATCAGTTCAAATTAGGGGTTAAACAGAACGTGGCAGGAAACTGGGATTACAGCAAACTGGCTAAGATTTAACTCTGAATGTACAAGTGAACATTTCTGTGTTAACTTTTACTATATTATAATGACATTGTCTTTTTCAATGTTGATGTTGGAATTTTATTTTGATTGTTATAACCTCTTTTTTAAAAATTAGCACTTCAGCATTTGGCTTTGTTTCAATACATCTGTTATAGCAGAAAAATCTAGATCGTCCTCATGAACCAGAAAAAGTGCCGAGAGCACCTCATGACAGGCGGAGAGAATGGCAGAAGCTGGCCCAAGGTCCAGAGCTGGCTGAAGATGATGCTAATCTCTTACATAAGCATATTGAAGTTGCTAATGGCCCAGCCTCTCATTTTGAAACAAGGTTTCTTTACTTTTTTTTTTTTAATAATGATAAAACATTGGCTTTATTTGTAATATCTGTACTTCTGAGTCTTGAGTCCTAAACTGCTGAACAGGCAGACCCTGTTATAAATATAGAGATGATTTCAAAATCCTGACCACTGTGAGCCTACTAAAGTCTGGCCTTGAGCAGGTAATTTTCATACCTGGACCTTAGTTTTGTCATCTGTAGAAAGAGGTGGTTGGAGTGGCTGACCTTTAGGGTTGTTTTAGCTTTAGTGTTAAGTCTCAACAGCCTCTCAATATTTGAGGCACAGTCTGGTAGAATTCCATCATAAAAGTGTAGAGTCTGGTTTTTTTTTTCAAATACTGTTGATTTATTGCATATAAAATAGGAGTGGGGAAGGGGTTCTGTTTTGTTCCTTTTACTTTCCCCTAACTTCCTTTCTTTGCCACATCCCCCACCTCAGATATATTAGGACTTTCAAACAAAAGTATTCATCCCTTTTTGTAGAAAAGAGTAGGTCTTTTTCCTTTCTCAGTGGCCAGGGGCCCTAACCAAATCCAGAAAACACATTAAACTGGCATCTCTCTGTGAAGACATTTATTTGTGTAAAGTCATATGATTTTTTTGTTGTTGTTGAGACGGAGTCTCACTCTGTTACCCAGGCTGGAGTACAGTGGCGTGATCTTGGCTCGCTGCAACCTCTGCGTCCCGGGTTCAAGCAATTCTCCTGCCTCAGCCTCCCAAGTAGCTGGGATTACAGGCACATGCCACCATGCTCAGCTAAGTTTTGTATTTTTAGTAGAGATGAGGGGGTCTCACCATGTTGGCCAGGCTGGTCTTGAACTCATGACCTCAGGTGATCTGCCTCTGCCTTGGCCTTCCAAAGTGCTGAGATTGCATGCATGAGCCCGGCCTAATCATACGATTTTTTTAATGGAAAAGAACTTAAGGTTTTCTTTTAAGTAATACACATGTAAATTATTGGACCATCAGTGTGAAACAACTTGACCTATTTTAGGAGAAATATACATCTGAGAGATACTATTTATCTGTATTACTGAAATAATTGACATTAAAAAATTAATAAACAATAGACATTTATTTCTGCTACAGTTGATTATTAAGGTATTTATCTGACCCACTAAATAATTTCTGACTTGCTCTGTGCACATCTGTTAAATCCAACTTTGTTCCCAGAATGTACTAGTAAATATTTGTAAATCAACACGTTCAAGGTGTCTAAAATTTTGCTCACATTTAAGTCACGTGTTGCTATGTTACTCAGCTATTTTCTGAGTACCCTAGTACCTTTGAAAACAGCAGAAGGACAGAAACAATATAGCTAGCCACCTCCATGGTGCTAATATCAAGGGGACCTTTCTGGTACAAGACTTCTGAAAGTCATTTAAGAGCATACCGAGTAGTAGAAAACTCATTTTCCTATTCTGCCTTTTTGTCATTGGTATCTTCTTGTAAAGAAAAAAACTGAAATAGAGGCAGATAGCTTTCTAAATTTGCTAAAAGTTAATTATTTTCTTGTTTATTAGATTACATATATAATACTTTTCATCCTGTGAGTTGAATTAGTATTCTGTTATAAAATAATAAAATAACTCTGATGGTCATCATAATAAATCTCTAAATCAACAAGTAGGTTACATTGCCAGCAGCTTTCTTTGTTTTAAAAGCAAGATTAATGTAATACATTTCTAAAAGTTTCTTAAAAATAGTTAAAATATTGGAATTGAAAGGATAAACTTTAAATATTTAATAGCTCATGTAGAACACTTTTCACCCCAATAATTCAAGGAAAATTCACTGAAAATATATATTTCTTTTAGACCTCAGACATATGTGGATCATATGGATGGATCTTACTCACTTTCTGCCTTGCCATTTAGTCAGATGAGTGAGCTTCTGACTAGAGCTGAGGAAAGGGTATTAGTCAGACCACATGAACCACCTCCTCCTCCACCAATGCATGGAGCGGGAGATGCGAAACCCATACCCACCTGTATCAGGTATGTTGGAACAAGCATATGATGTTTTACCTTAGGAGTCAGTAACCTTTTTCTTTAAAGGACAAGATATTATTTTTGGCTTTCAGGACTTACAGTTTCTGTAACAAGTACTAAATTCTGCCATTGTTGCACAAAATCCACCATAGACTACATAAATGAATGTGTCTGCATCTAAATTCTTTTTATAAAAATGGGAGCAGGTCAGATTTGGTCTATGGGACGTTATTTGCAATATTCTGATTAGAGCTGACACATTCTCATAGGAAAATTTAGCTGATAAGAATTTAAAGTCTGTTTAATTTTATTATAATGTTGTTATCAAGCATATCATGTGCAGTGTATTAAGAAAAATTAAGAATTTTTTGCAATATGGGTAATGGTCTAAGAAATGGGAACCAAAGATGTGATTATTAATACCAATTTGGTAGTAAGAAAAATACTTAAAGAATTTTAGAGAGGATTGGTGGTTGCTCATAATAAGCTTTCAGTAAAGCTATTTTGAAGTTTAATCTTGTCAGTTATTATCCAAATGATACATTTCTAATGGAGAAATATTTGAGAAATTTTCTAATAGAGATATAGAGATCAGCTTTACAATTTTCAGTTAAAAATCCAATTTTCTATCGCTGACTCATTTGATGTGCCATCCTCAGGAAGAAAGAGAGCCGTAAATTTCTTTTTGTGGTTTGTAATTAGCTGTCATTGATTTAACTGAAATAGCATATGATGAGACTTAATAGCTTCAGTATAAATACAGCATTGTATTGGCCACAAGTATTGCTATAAAATTGCATTATGATCAACGTTGAGTCATTACAGAGATTCCTATCAGTATAGAATTGAGCATTTTATTTATCAAAGTAAGCATAAAATGTCTGAGTGGATACAAAAGTTGCATGAGAGAATGAGACCATTTAGACTACTACAAACCAAAGCACCACTCATTTATTTTTTTGTTGATGTGCTTTTAGTTCTTTTTTTACTAAACACTATTGAAAATGTTAAATTTCTATAGGAGCATGTTAATGGATCTATTCTGACATAATTACTAATAGTCGTTTATAGTTTGTGTGGTTAGATTTTCTCTTTAGGCTTTTCTCTTTTAATAACTTGCTAGAATCTCTTTGTCATTTCAGTTCTGCTACAGGTTTGATAGAAAATCGCCCTCAGTCACCAGCTACAGGCAGAACACCTGTGTTTGTGAGCCCCACTCCCCCACCTCCTCCACCACCTCTTCCATCTGCCTTGTCAACTTCCTCATTAAGAGCTTCAATGACTTCAACTCCTCCCCCTCCAGTACCTCCCCCACCTCCACCTCCAACCACTGCTTTGCAAGCTCCAGCAGTACCACCACCTCCAGCTCCTCTTCAGATTGCCCCTGGAGTTCTTCACCCAGCTCCTCCTCCAATTGCACCTCCTCTAGTACAGCCCTCTCCACCAGTAGCTAGAGCTGCCCCAGTATGTGAGACTGTACCAGTTCATCCACTCCCACAAGGTGAAGTTCAGGGGCTGCCTCCACCCCCACCACCGCCTCCTCTGCCTCCACCTGGCATTCGACCATCATCACCTGTCACAGTTACAGCTCTTGCTCATCCTCCCTCTGGGCTACATCCAACTCCATCTACTGCCCCAGGTCCCCATGTTCCATTAATGCCTCCATCTCCTCCATCACAAGTTATACCTGCTTCTGAGCCAAAGCGCCATCCATCAACCCTACCTGTAATCAGTGATGCCAGGAGTGTGCTACTGGAAGCAATACGAAAAGGTAAGTTTCTCAGCACCATGAAAAGCTTTGCTATAGTATCACTGGAAACATTCTAAATATTTAAGACAAAAATGTGTTCCTCATTTATAAAATTTTAGGTGATCGTGTTTTTGTACAAATAGCCTTTAGAAACTATATCCATCTTATATTTAAAATTATCTTTAAGAAAATAGATCACATTTAAACATTTTATTTTCATGCGTTGTAGGTATCCTTAAAATGTTTGTTGAGTGAATGAGAAATTTAAAATATCAGACTTAAATGTTATAGAAGATTTAATTAAAACCCTTTATATTATGCTTAACGTGTATATTAACTCCTTTAAAAATGGTATTTTCTTCAATGTTAAGGCTGTTCATTTCGGACATCAGTGACACTTGCTCTACCAGATACCTTTATTCCTCCCTTAACTAAGGAAAGACTTCTCATATTCATTTATTGTCATTATTTCCTAAACAGTAACAACATTCCAGGCACTGAGCATATAGAATGAATAATAGTGCCTTTTCCTCAATTACAATGAATAATAAAGCCACAGAAAACATATTCAACAATGTTTAATTTATTTGACCATTGAGGTGATAGAAGAAATGTACCACCTCATTAATGTTTTAGGGGGTGGTGAGCAGGGAGGTACAGTAGACCATGATTAATAAATAAACTGTAGATATGTACTAGGATACCTGGTAAGTTTTACCAGCTAATGACACAGATAACATAAGAGATTTAATGCCTCTCTTAATATGATTTCTTCACATTCTTTTCTAATCTTTTTATTTTCCTGTTAGTATTTCTTATGTGTATTTGATTTTATTCCAGAAATATTAATAATATCTAGTATTTAGTATTTTGATTTAAACGAATGATTTGGATTCACCATATCAGGTATTCAACTACGCAAAGTAGAAGAGCAGCGTGAACAGGAAGCTAAACATGAACGCATTGAAAATGATGTTGCCACTATCCTGTCTCGCCGTATTGCTGTTGAATATAGTGATTCGGAAGATGATTCAGAATTTGATGAAGTAGATTGGTTGGAGTAAGAAAAATGCATTGATAAATATTACAAAACTGAATGCAAATGTCCTTTGTGGTGCTTGTTCCTTGAAAATGTTTGGTCATTCTAGTGTTTTGCTTTCTTTTCCTCATAATAAATAACGCTTTTCCTCCATAACTTTTGATTTCTAAGAAAAATATTAGCATACATTTCAAACTAAATGTTTTAGAGTGGCTTATCTTTTTTTCCCCCTGAAAAGACATAATTTGGTCCAATAAACCACTAAGTATTAAGCATGGACAGCTGTTGTTAGAGTAGCAGATTCAGTTTTTTGATATATCTTAATTGTGTACCTCGTGAATTTTAATTTAAAGAAAGCAACTGAAATTGAAACTTGAGGGCAGCTGTATCTATTAATGAGCCTTATTCCATTTCCTGATGTTTTAAAAGAAGAAACACTGCCTTGATTATATGAATACACTCAGAAAGTACATTTAGCTTGTAGTGTTGAATTCTCTTAAAGGAATGCCTGAATTTTTTAATTATTGTTTTATTGTTTTTAAATACTTGCCTTATTTGAATGTTTAGCAGTATCCCCCTCCCACTTATATATTGTGTGATATGATTTTGCTTGCCTATAGGAGTTAAAAAATTTTCCATGTGAAATACTCTGACTTAAACATACATGTAACTTACATAACTGTTAAGAATAACAGTCTGATTTAATAAATGGTTCATTTTAAAAGTTCATGGGTGTTGCTCTGTGAATAAAATGATTTCTCATAATTTATCAAATACTGTAAGGTAGGCTGTAAATAGTGAATGAAAATTTTAAAAACCACTTAAGCTACCTAATTTCCTCTTAATTGCACGGCTTCATATTGTCTACTATGTAAGGTAGTTTTTATGTTATTTCCCCACTAAGGTCATAAACTCTATTTTTCTCAATTGCTTGTGGTTTTAAATTAAAACCTCAACTTGCCATCTAATTTCGGCCTACCTTAATTTCAGTTTAACAGTGTTCTTGAAATTATGTTTTGCAGCCAGACACAGTGGGCTCATCCCTGTAATCCAAACACTTTGGTAGGCTAAGACTGGCGGATCACTTGAGCCTGGGAGTTTGAGACCAGCCTGGGCAACATGGTGAAAACCCCATCTCTATGAAAAAATACAAAAATTAGCTGGGCATAGTGGGATATGCCTGTAGTGTCAGCTACTTGGGAGGTGGGGGTGGGAGGATCACTTGAACCTGGGGAGGTTGAGGCTTCAGTGAGCTGAGATCATGCCATTGCATTCCAGCCTGGGCAGAGTGAGACCCTGTCTCAAAAAAAAAAAAAAAAAAAAAATTATATTTTGCAATGATAAAATGAGTTAATGTTTTCACAGCTTAGATTTAGGGGTGGAGAGGAAGCACCATTAATACCAGGTTACTTCATTTAAAGAAACGACTAAATGAAGTTTGGGTAAGTTGATTGTAAAGTGACTGTAGTCTTCAGCCTTGCCTCTGTCTACTCCTTTTGCAGTACGGTTTCCAGTTTTTCCCATTGAGAAGTAAGTTCTGTTCCCATGCCCTTGAATCTGGGTGTCCCTGAAACTTGATTTGGCCAATAATAGCATGCAGCAAAAGTGACATTGTGCCAGTTCTAAGCCTCAAGAAACCTTGTAAGCTGTAGCCTTCTATTCTGTCTCCCTACCTGCCTGTCTCAAACCTGCCTCTGCCATGAGAATAATCCCAAACTAGTCTGGCTGAAGATCAGAAACCTCATGGAGGAAAGGCATCTCAAGAGAGACCATCTTGGACCAGCCAAGCCCAAACTCGCTTGCTGATGATAGACAGATAAGCAAGCCTGGACGATGTTAGCCTAGCCTAGCCCAGTCCAGTCCACTGATCCATAATTTCATGAGCAAAAATAAATGCTTATTGTCCTACACCTAAGTTTTGAATTACCAGCATTATTGTGGCAATAAATAGTTGATATGTAAGGTCACTTAGTAATTTGATAATTTGAAGGTTATTTAGGCAGACAACTAATGACCTGTAATCTTTATAGAATAGGAATAATTAACCAAGTTTTATTGTTCAGTTTGGACGTAACGTTTCCTGATAGCTTTAATAAACAAAAGATTTGATTTGCTCTTTTGGGTAGCTTAGAAAGAACAAGAGATTAGATAGCCATTGAGGTTCCTTTCTAACCACATGAAAATGTATATTGTCAAATTTAACTCAAGAAACTATGTCACAGTTTAAAGTCCAAGTGTCCTTATGGCCAAAAGGCAGCAACTAGTATATATATTTTATAGAACTCAAATATATATATATTTGGGGCCAGATAACTAAAACATAATAGTACTGGTTTTGAAGCCGCTAAGGATGTTACAAAAGGAAATTGGTGAAGATTTCTTAGTAATAGAAGTAGACATGTTAGTAAAGTTTATTATAGACTTTTTTTGTTTTTCAGAACATTTTTGGAAGTTGAAAAAGGGTCTGCAGACTAAATAAGCAGATTTGTAGTGTCCATTTTAAAATCAAAATAATCTTTTAATCTAGATATTTAGCTTAACTTGCTGAGGGGATTTTGGAACAGAGCATTCAGTGGCAATTTTCATACCCTGAGAAGAATGAAAGTTGCTGGGTAGTAACTACTTTCTTGTTAAATTGTTTTACTACTCAGCAGGGTCAGACACAAGCATAAAATCAGGAGAAAAAAAAAAAGATGCATTGTATACTATGGGAGAAACAAGTGGTTTTGCCTGTTTTGGTTGATGTCACCCATTTACCTCTATATTGTGAAATTCAATGAATGCTTTTTAACCTTAATTCACATATTCTGTGTTTATTCTACCTCCTCAAAGCTTTCAGTCCCTTAAGCTTTCAACACCTTTGGCTTTTATTACGCTGATCCTTCTCCTTTTCCTTCCCATAGTGGTGGGACAGAAGGAGGAGAGGGAAATACCTAGCAGCAGTGGTGTTTGGGATGAAATGCAGTCATTATGGAGGAAAAGGAAGTTTTGCTATATCTTTTCCTAATGAAGGGATATTCATAAGCTTCAGATTTATAAAGCATTTTAAGCCATCACCACTGCCTTTCATGACTTATAAATAATCTGGGCACATGAGATGACTTCCAAAGCATTTTCATGTTGTAAATGTTTACTGAAAGATAAATAATAAGGTTCATTTAGGTTGTGTTTTATAAATCATGAAACATCTTTCTCTGTTTCCACTTTTAGAAAGCTGTGTCCTTTAATAACCATCTTACATCTGTATTTTCTTGAAATCTCTGAGTTCATATTCCTTTTGAATTTCTTTCCTTTTTTTTTTTTTTTTTTTTTTTTTTTTAAGACAGAGTCGCACTGTGGGCTGGAGTGAGACTGGGCTCAGAGTCTCACCCAGGCTGGAGTTTAATAGCTCGATCTTGGCAGGCTCTGCCTCCTGGGTTCAAGTTCCTTTTGAATTTCTGTAATTATTTTAGTATAAGCGTTTTTCAAGTAATACTATTTCACATCACAGTTATTATCTATTTGAGCTGCCAAATAGATTATTTACACAACAGCAAGAGTGTTGTCTTAAATACGCAGCTCACAATATCTCTTCGCATAAGCACGTTCAGAAATACCTTCTTTGTTGTTTGGTCCACTAGGGCTCTTAAAATTATTTCTTCCTAGGCACTGCTCCTGTTTAAAATTTCTTTCTCCACTAATCTCAGTAACATAGTTGATGTAAAACTAATCCTGATTTCATCAAAACTCTGTATGTGTGTATTTTAATAAAGGAAAAGTATAGGAATGATTCTTCTAACCAAAATGTGAACCATATTAGTATTTCTGAAGTCATTTCTTAAGACAGCAAAATTGATTCTGTGTTTTAATTTCATGGGAATGCTCATTAATTACTTTCAAAACACAGCTTTAACTTTGCCCTTAGTAAACATAACATTGCTGCTTATTTTTGCATTTTCACTCCATTACATATATCTGGATCCTAGCTTTTTTTAAAACCACTTTCCTCAACTGAAGCCAATGTAAATTTAAAGCTCCTAAATAGTTCAGAAATTCCTTTTGGAATGCATTATTTCTGTAATATCTACTTAGTAAAAAAAATACAAATAAACCAAGATAATCACACAGTATCGGGATTTCAAGGATGGCTTTGCTATGTTGAACTAATGAAATGGCATATCAAATTATGATATTTCTAACTGTCATATAGCTTATAATTAATCAAAATAATTTTACTGAAGCCAAACAATGCATAGGACCCTTGGAATACAAAGATTAAGTTTTTTTCCTCCCTTTATTCATTGTTGTACTGAAAGCAAATTTATGTTCTCCATGATTTGGCTCTAGAATGCATCAGTAATCTCTGTTGCTTTTCAAGCCTGACAACCACGCTCTGAATAAAGAATGAATACCAGCCTTGAATGAACATTTCAGGCACTTTTTTTTAGAAGGCTAGTCATCAATACCTTTTCTCATTATTGTAAGACCAGCTGCTCTGACTGTTTTTCCTTTAGAAAAAAATTAACATAACAGCATATATTGAAGTCATCTTTCTCAAGGCATTTATAGTTTCTTTTTTTGGGTATTTGTTTAATGGTAATGATTTTGAATATTTTATAGCATCTATATAAATGTAATCCTTGTATATATGATATGTGTTATACTCAAAGACTTCTTGATAAACTTCTTATTTGTCCATCCTGTCTTTAAGCTAGCTTTTTCAATACTATTCTTTTGACACCGATGTCTCCAGGAATATTAAAGTTCTCTATCTTCCTTTCTGGCCTGGAAACAATATAAAAGACACAAAAGCCATTTAGTCATAGTATGTTTTCCATTGTAACAGCTTCCAATATTAAAGTGTCCGTTTCATTCTTACCTATGAAAACCATGAGATGTTACACTTCTAACTTTAATGAAAATCAATGGGAACTATTTATACCATTCCAGATAAAGAAGCACATCTCCTATTATTATTAAATCCATAATAATATAATATTTTTATTATGTATTTATTATATTTTTATGTATTCAGCAGCATTTTTTGATGCCTGCAGAGTTTTGAGACTGCTGGGTATTGGGGCCACAACAGTGAATAGACAGAGCCCTACTTTCTGAGTATACAGGTAAATTAACAAAGAGCAATGAATGTTGTCAAGGAAGCTCATAGTAGAGAGACCAGTCCTAGTCTAGGAAGTCAGGAAAGGCATCTAAAAGGAAATGACATTGAAGGTTTAAGATGAACCTAGACAAATGTTAGTGAGTGTGGAGAGTCTCCCAGTCAAAGGAAACGTGTGAATGTATGGAAATGCTTGGCGCAAAGCGTACAAGCAATGCAATAGCTGGAAATACATTAGAAAGATAAGCAAGAGCAAATCGAGAGGATCTTAAGAAATATAGTAAGGAGTTTGCATTTATTCCATGGGCAATAAAACTGAAGAAGTGAGTTACCAGTATAGCATTTTGAAAAGATAGCTGATGGCTACAAAGTGGTAAATGGATTAGAGCGAAGTCATCTTGCCAGTCAAGAGACCAGTCAGGCTGTTAGAATGGGTGGACAGGTGATAGTTATGGTGGAGAGAAATAATGAGATAGATTTAAGAGATACTTAGGATGTGGAATATACGGGGCTTGGTAATTGGAGAGGAAGGAGTCAAGGATGACTTTCAGGGTCCTGGCTTACTGATGGGTGGAACATTAGAAGAGGAACAGGTTTGGGAGAATGGATGATAAAGCTGGGGACATTAG